TGCCATCTGGGCGGAATACCTGAAGCTTCTTGCCATGTTTTACACCACCTACATCAGATACCTCCCCAATGTTTGCTAGAACTATGTTCCCCCTGCTGTCAGCTGACACCCCCATAGGGCCCCACATGTCCTGTGGCTGGCTGCCCTTCTGACCAAACTTGTGTTGGACGTTAAGATTCTTGTCAAACACCTGAATACAGTCGTTGGCTGTATCTGACACAATGATGTTGTCCCTTTTATCCACGCAAACGAAACATGGCTGGTTAAACTGCCCTTTCCCCTTCCCTCCCACCTGTTTCACTAGTGTCCCATCTGCCTCAAACAGGAAAATGCTGTGTTTGCCATAGTCAGCTACAAGAACCCTCCCATTCCTTTGTACTGCCAGCCCATAGGGCTTAGTGCAGTGTTTACTCAAAGGAAATTTGTGCAACAATTCTCCTGATGGTGTAAACCTCTTAACTTCTTCCCCACATTTCACCACTATGGTGCAATCAATCTGAACTGCAATTGAGACAGGATTTGCACCTGTTGAAAATGAGTAACAAACGTTTCCAGCCAGATCAAACACCTGAACACGTGCGTTGTAATAGTATCAGCCACATACAGCTTGTCTCCACTGACTGCTAGATCTATGAGGGTATCAAACTGTCCCTGTTGGCTTCCTTTCCTCCCAAATCTCAATACCGGGTCGTTACTGCTAACGTCTACAGTGAGAGGGGAGCACCGCATCCACATATACAATACATGTCCCCACCCACCACCTCCCCTTTCAGCCACGCTCACCACATGTTTCCCAGATGTTTGTGGCCTCCAAACTGCTTTAAATCTACCGCCAGCTAGGGTGGTGTCTACTTTAACCAATTGCCCCCCAGGGGACGTGACTGTGACTTCTGGATTCGTTTTCCAAACTTCGTCTGTCCGTGGTCTGTAAATAACAGTAGTTGGCAAACTCTCTACCGGGGCCTCTGTGATGAACAATATTTCTTCCGATAGAAACAGGTAACAGTGAGCAGGATCAGTGTACAGGGCATCTGACTGGAAAGATATCTTATTCGTCAAAGCCTTATGCTTAATCTCAGTAGAAGAAAGAATATTTAGCCTATCTTCTAACTGTTGCCTAAATGTGAGAATTTCTACATCATTACCTCTAGCTAGAACGTCTGTAGAGAACTTCAGTCCTTCTTCAGTAGACTTGAACTTTTCCTCCAACTCTTTCTCTTCCTTCACAAGAGGCTCTTTCTGGTCCTTCTCCATCTTGTCTAACTTCTCTTTGGCCTTCTTTTCTTCTTTGTTCAGCTTTGCTCTCATGTCAGCAAAATGTTTCTCGATTTCCTTTCTTATTGTTTGACAGTTTTCTGTGATGCTTGTGAGTTCTTGGCCAACGGTTTCCTTAGTTTTCTTCAGAACATCAGCTGTATCTTTGGTTTCGGCTACTAGCGTCTGTAGTCCAGCCTTGTACTTTTGTGCGACCTCACTGACCTCCTGTGGGTCGTGTTTTCGGAGCCACCTTGGCCCTGGTCGGTGCTCTTTAATGGTGCAGTCTCGGCAGACGAGCTTGGCGCAGGGTTGGCAGTAGAAGGTCATGCGCTGGTCGGTGTGCCGAGGGCAGTACGGGGCCCAGGTGTACTTTGGCCTGCTGCTGGGGTTCTTCAGGTCATCCATGGTGATGATGTAATGGTCTCTGAGTTTTGGAATGTTACTGTGAGCAGTTATACAGTTCTTACACAGTAGCAAACGGCAGTCCGTACACAATCCTTCTACCTTATTGCCAGACTCACACATCTGACACTTGGCGTGAGCTTCCTCACTGTTGTGCAAGGCCCTGAAGTCCAGCAAGCTGTTCATGAAGAAGTATGGGGGCAGACTGCTGACACCTGCTTCTTTTAGCCTCACCTGGTCCCGACATGTAGGACAGGTGAACTGGGTCTCGCCCTTCCGCCATTTTTCCAGACACCCGGCACAGAAGGTGTGAAGACAGGGAAGGACGCGGGGGTCGGTATAGATCTCCTCGCAAACGGCACAAGTCAGAAACTTCTCATCAAACTCCTCTAGTGGGAGGCTAGCAGCGGCCATGTTGCTGTTATGCAATAGTTTTCTTTCCAGGATCTTCTTCGCACGATTTGGAATGCTCGTACGCCAAAAAGGGGGCTAGTTTCAGTCAAAAGTGAAAGGGGGAAGTGGTACCTGTTCCAACAACACAGCCTGGGCAGAGTCAAAGGTGAATACAGGTGTGCCTTGCTGATTGGTTCAGGTACCAAGCAAAGGTTTTCTTTGACGCCCAGATTCTTGCTGTGTGTCATCATGCATGAAATGTAGCTACTGTACACAAGGGACGCATACCTGAAGTTCTGACGCCTGAGGCATTTTGTTCACTGCAGTACGTTTATATTTCAGACAGTGAGTTGCACCAAAACTTGAGTATCGCGACCTCTCGCCTTCGCCACTGACGTTAGTTGTTCATACCTAAACCACGGAAATATGAAAAACGGAAGTTCTGCTCTGCTGCAGTACCATAGACACTTGATGTAAACTAAACTACCTTGTCAGTTTGCGAGATAGTGGCCGGGTGAGTACCCTGGGGACGAGAGGTTCTCCACGTAAATAATAATAATTATAATTAATGGTTTATTTGTCACATGTCCATTTGTACAGAATGGCAGGTCCCGTGTAATTGGGACCTGAATTGCTCTGACAATTACATATTTATCATTGGTTGATTAATAAAAAGTTATCACACATTAAAATCATTATGCGTCATTATTATTATGGGTTCACCACACCACGAAGTGGTGTGGTGAAACCATATTGCTTTTTCTGATGTTTCTTCTTCTTCTTCTCCTCCTCCTGCCATTTTTAAATGGATTCAGCTTCTTCATTTTAGGGCCTAAGGTCCTGAAATTTGGTATGGAGGTACAGTGGGCAAATACCCCTAGGCGTTTTTTAAATTATTGTGATACAGGCTTTTAGAATGGTTTTATTTGAGTTTTTTGGCTGTGTTATAGCAAATGTATTACTGTGTTAGTGTGCCGTGTTTACCACGTTTGGGCATGAGTCATCACAATGGAATGCAGGGCATCAACCAATAGGCATGCAGCTTTCCTCTATTCTTCTTGCTGATTGGCTGTTGGGATTTAACTTGATTAACACCTGCACAGAGCATTTCCACCTGCACAGAGCATTTCTTGCTGATTGGCTGTTGGGATTTAACTTGATTAACACCTGCACAGAGCATTTCCATACTAACAGTATGTCTGTATTCAAGTGTTTTGGTAGGTATTTCAAGCTTTCCTGCTCCAGCATTGGAATGCGGGGCATGGACGTTTTTTTATTATTTTGAAAATCAACAGTTTGCATTATGCAATTAAAAATCCTAACCAATAAAGTAGGTAATAGCTATCCAACTGTTGTTTTAGTTGTATTTTACTTCATATTATAGTTATATCAATGTAAATCATTGTTTTCCCCTGTGTTTCTCATTCTTTCCCTGCCATGTGGTAAAATGTGGTGAACCCATCGCTGTATTTGCTCCAAAGCAAATATTGGCCTTTCTAGTTAATATAAAATACGTTAAAAGATAATGTCATTTAAAATATCAGATTTGCACACAGGTTGCGTTAAAAGTCTTTGGACAATAAAATGGCAATCTCAGTCCCCATTCAGTAGTCGCACGATATGCGGTATTGCACTGTTTTTAAATCTCTCAGTATAGAGCAGACGACAGAATGTCGCGGAGTCTCGGTCCCAGGGTGTTCCGGTGGACTGCGGCGGTAAATTCGACCCCATGAGCTGGAAAATTCTAACTGTTAGGCAGCTCTCTTGAGTTGGGAATATGTTTGTTTGTTTGTTTGTTATTCAGAGTCATTCTATGTGACGTTTGCAGACTGAGAGGCACTTCTTGGTCCCTGTCGACATTTGTTGTGACGTTTGGTCGGTACCAAGCTGATTTTGAATTGGGAGGGGCACACCTATGACCTAAATTACACAGTCCAAGGACGTGTAGGATACAATATGTACTACACTATGTCCTTTGCATTTGCGTTTTGTACGTATTGCGTCTTCTTCACTCCTAAAGTTACAGCTAACTGGGGTTGGTGTGGACTTTGTCTCTCGAGGTCACGGTACAGGTATCATGTGCGGAGTTCGATTGTTGGTGAGTTCGAATGTTGTCATGGTGACGCGAACGGTGTTACAGCTGAGCACTAACTACACAATGATGGGTCCGAGGTTACGTAACCTGTACACTACGTCATGTGATTGTCATTTCTGGTGGACTCTGGTCCGAACTGAAGAATAAGGGCGGGGGGACTTCTACAACAGGAGTTAGTCCACAACCATCGCCTGATAAAAATATATCTGGGTTTAACTTAGGACAATGTGATTTATACAAAATGTTAAGGTTACGTCGCTTAAGACACAATACAGTATATTTTAAGATATCAAGTTTAGGTCAACAGAACAAACTTTTTGTCATTCTTGTATTATCTATTAGGTGACTAACAGCGCTGCAAATGGCAAATACAGTGTACAGTTGATTTTTACAAAGTCAACAGTTAACAAAAGACATTTCAAGTACATAGTAGTGGGTAGTTTTCTGCCAAATTATGTTTAAAACTTTGCAGCCTTACAGTTCTTGCATTTTCTACTCTTTTATGTACATGATATATATGCACACATCATAATACAAAAGGAAACATTTTGAATAATGGGTCAGCTATACAGATTAGAACAATACATCCTCCCCATATGTTTTGATGCATGTATACTTATACGTGTCCGATTTGCAAAACGATTCTAAACGTCTTCTAAAATATATGTATCTTCCATGTGACATGTTATATGCAAACTTTCGTATTACGTGGTAAGAACATCACTATTCCCTCTGATGACAAACATCATTAGGCCTGTTAACATAAAGAAAATCTAACCTGTAGCTTTGTAACATATAATTTTACAGAAAAGAACATACAAGCTTGATAAGCATTTGAAGTATGAAATTTTCCTCACATGTATCTGTATTTCCTGATACAGTGGTCACCAGGATCAGCTACAAACACATGTCCATCCTCTGTCACAGCCACCCCGTGGGGAAGATTCAGTTTGTCCCTATCGCTGCTAATGGTGGACACCCAGGTGCCGTCTGGGCGGAACACCTGAAGCTCCTTACTGTGTTCTATACCATCAGTTGTGCCCCCAATGTTTGCCAGAACTATGTTCCCCCTGCTGTCTGCTGACACCCCGATAGGGCCAAACATATCCTGTGGCTGTCTACCCTGCTGACCAAACTTGTATTGGAAGTTCAGGTTCTCGTCAAACACCTGAATACGGTGGTTCTCTTTATCTGCCACAATGATGTTGTCTTCTTTATCCACACAGACAAAACATGGCTCATTAAACTGCCAGTTCCCCTGTCCCTGCCCTCCCACCTGTTTCACCAGTGTCCCGTCTGCCCCAAACAGGAAAATGCTGTGTTTGCCCTTATCAGCTACAACAATCCTCCCATTCCTCTGTACTGCAAGCCCATAGGGGTCTGTGCAGTGTTGACTTAGCGAGAATTGGTGTAGCAGTTCTCCTGATGGTGAGAATCTTTTAACTTGTCCCGCACATTGTGACACTATCGTGCTATCAATATGAACTGCAATTGAGGCAGGATTTGCAGTTGTTGAGAATGAGTAACAAAAGTTCCCCCTTAGATCAAACACCTGGACACGTTTGTTGTAAGTATCAGCCACATACAGACTGCGTCTTCTGACTGATAGATCTATAGGAGTGTTAAACTGTCCCTGCTGGGTTCCGTTCAGCCCAAATCTCAGTACCGGATTGTTACTGCGAACATCTACAGTAAGAGAGGAACACAGGCTTTCTGTGACCAGTCTGGGCGTTCCAAAGTCATATAGGCTGTACAAGGTCCCTACCCCATGCCTGTTGTGCCCCACTCTTCTCCCTGCAGTCACACACACCACATGCTTCCCTGATATTTGTGGCCTCCAAACTGCTCTAAATTCCCCTCCACTTGCTTTGGTGATGTCTAGTTTAACACATTGCCCCACAGGGGAGGTGACTGTGACTTGTGGGTTGGTTTCCCAAACTTGGCCTTTCCTCGGTCTGAATATGACAGTACATGTAGTTGGCAAACTCTCTACTGGGGCTTCTGTGATGAACAGTGGTTCATCAGTCAGTATGAGAAAACATTCAACAAGATTAGTGCAGGTGGTATCTGGTTTGAAGTATACATTATTCGTCAAAGCCTTATGCTGAATCTGAGTTGAAGAAAGAGCATTTAGCCTATCCTCTAGCTGTTGCCTATGTGTGAGAATTTCTACATCATTACCTCTATCTAGAATGTCTGTAGAGAACGTCAGTCCTTCTTCAGTGGACGCAATGTTCTGTTCTAGCTCTTTCTCTTCCCTCAGAAGAGGCTCCTTCTGGTCCTTTTCCATCTTGTCCAGTCTCTCTGTGACCTTCTTCTCTTCTTCGTCCAGCTTTTTCCTCATGTCTGCAAAATGTTCTTTAATTTCTTTTCTTACTCTTTGACAGTTTGTTGTGATGCTTGTGAGTTCGTGACCAACCGTTTGTTTGGTTTTCTTCAGAACGTCATCCGTATGTTTTGTTTTCTCCACTAGTTTCTGTAGTCCAGCCTTGTACTTCTGTGCAACTTTACTGACCTCCTGTGGGTCGTGGTTCGGCCCTGGTCGGTGCTCGGTGATGGTGCAGTCTCGGCAGACGAGCTTGGCGCAGGGTTGGCAGTAGAAGGCCATGCGCTGGTCGGTGTGCCGAGGGCAGTACGGGGCCCGGGTGTACTTTGGCCTGCTGCCGGGGTTCTTCAGGTCATCCAGGGTGATGATGTAATGGTCTTTCAGCGCAGGGATGTTCCTGTGAGCAGTTATACAGTTCTTACACAGTAGCAAACGGCAGTCTGCACACCTCCCATCTACCTTATTGTCAGACTTACACATCTGACACTGGGCGTGAGCTTCTTCACTGTTGTGCAAGGCCCTGAAGTCCAGCAAGCTGTTCATAAAGAAGTATTGAGGAAGGCTACTGATACCTCCTTCTTGTAGCCTCACCTGTTGCCGGCATGTAGGGCAGGTGAAATGGCTCTTCCCCTTTCGCCATTTTACCAGACACTTGGTACAGAAGGTGTGAAGACAGGGCAGGACACGGGGGTCGGTATAGATCTCATCACAGACGGCACAAGTCAGAAACTTCTCATCAAACTCCTCTAGTGGGAAGCTAGCAGCGGCCATGTCGTTGTTATGCAATGGTCTTCTATCCAGGATTTCTTCGCACCGTTTGTAACGATCGTACGCCAAGCAGGCTAGTTTCAGTCAAAAGCGAAAGGAGGATGTGGGACTTGTTTTCCAACAACAGAGGCGTGGCAGGGCTAAAGGTGTACAGGTGTACTATGCTGATTGGTTCAGGCACCAAGCCCACAATGGTTTTATTGACGGGTCACGCCCAAATTTTGCTGTGTGTCATCGTGCATCAAATGTAGCTATTGTGCACAATGAAGTCATGCGTGATGCTCTGGCGCCTGGGGAATTTTGTTCACTGCAGCACTAAAATGTTTATACTTTAAACAGTACCGCGACCTTCGCCACTGACGTTTGTTGTTTTATACCTTAAATCCACGGAAATGCGAAAACCGGAATATTGACAGTAACATTATAATGCAAATGACAACATTGTAAATTATGGGTCAGGTAACAGATCATAGTATTGCCCCCTCCCCATGTGTCTTTATCAGGCCACAGCAAGTCAATTTTATGGATGACATCTCCCGTAATCTAATGCGATAGAGCGAAAGTAACAAGGCAGACAATAAAGCCAGATACTTTCTTTTTTCACATTTTGAGGTCATAAGCCCTGTTAAACAAGAAATGAGTTGAAAAAACATGATATCACAAAAAACACATCTTTTATTCTTGTATTCAACGTTAACAGTAGTACCTCTCCTTGTAGATGTGAGGCATGGTGATGATGATGATGTTTCATATTGCAGGATACAATATTAATTTTCAGTGTGCTGACAAACATTAGTCATTAATACGACTGTTAGAAGAAGTTGAACTACAGCTTTGTCACTTAAATGTAAGAAAGGAACATACAAGCTTGATCGGTATGCATTTGAATTATAATGTTTTCCTCACATATATCTGTATTTCCTGATACAGTGGTCCATAGGATCAGCTACAAACACATGTCCATCCTCTGTCACAGCCACCCCGTGGGGTTTCTTTAGTTTTTCCCCATCACTGCTAATGGTGGACACCCAGGTGCCGTCTGGGCGGAACACCTGAAGCTTCTTGCCATGTTCTACACCACCTACATCAGAATCCTCCCCAATGTTTGTCAGGACTATGTTCCCGCTGCTGTCAGCTGACACCCCCATTGGGTAAAACATGTCTTGTGGCTGTCTGTCCCACTGACCAAACTTATGATGAAAGTTCAAGTTATTGTCAAACACCTGAATACGGTCGTTGTCTTTATCTGCCACAATGATGTTGTCTTCTTTATCCACGCAGACAAAACATGGCTTATTGAATTGCCCCTCCCCCTGTCCCTGCCCTCCTATCTGTTTCACCAGTGTCCCATCTGCCTCAAACATGAAGATGCTGTGTTTGCCCTTATCAGCTACAACAACCCTTCCATCCCTCTGAACTGCCAGACCATAGGGGTCTGTGCAATATTCACCCAGGGGAAAACTGTGCAGCAGTTCTCCTGATGGTGTAAACCTCTCTACCTCATCCCCGGCAGACATTGCTACGATAGTTCCATCAGTATTAACTGCAATTGAGACAGGATTTGTAGTCGTTGTAAATGAGTAACAAAAGTTTCCAGCTGGATCAAACACCTGAACACGTTTGTTAAACGTATCAGCCACATACAGCTTGTCTCCCCTGACTGCTAGATCTATAGGAGTGTTAAACTGCCCCTGCTGGCTGCCTTTCTTCCCAAAGGTGCAAAGTGAAGGGTTGTTACTGTTAACATCTACGGTGAGAGGGGAACACCGGCTCCACAAAGACAATAATTCTCCCCACCCACCCCCTCCCCCTCCTGTCACACTTACCACATGCTTCCCTGATGTTTGTGGCCTCCAAACTGCTTTAAATGCCCCGCCACTAGCTCTGGCGGTGTCTAATTTAACACACTGTCCCCCAGGGGAGGTGACTGTGACTTCTGGGTTAGTTTTGCAAACTTGGCCTTTCTGTGGTCTGAATATGACAGTAGTTGGCAAACTTTCTATCGGGGTCTCTGTAATGAACAATGTTTCTTCCGATAGGAACAGGTAACAGTGAGAAAGATCAGTGTACAGGGCATCTGACTGGAAGGATATCTTATTCTCCAGAGCTTCATGTTGAATATGGATAGAAGAAAGAACATTTAGCCTATCCTTTAGCTGCTGCCTTAGAGTGAGAATTTCTACATCATTACCTCTATCTAGAATGTCTGTTGAGAACTTCAGTCCTTCTTCAGTAGTCTTGATCTTTTCTTCCAGGTCTTTCTCTTTCGTCACAAGAGGCTCCTTCTGGTCCTTTTCCATCTTGTCTAACTTCTCTTTGGTCTTCTTCTCTTCTTCGTCCAGCTTTGCTCTCATGTCTGCAAAATGTTTCTCGATTTCCTTTCTTATTGTTTGACAGTTTTCCGTGATTGTTGTGAGTTCTCTGCCAACCGTTTCTTTAGTTTTCTGCAGAACATCACCTGCATCTTTGGTTTCGGCAACTAGCGTCTCTAGTCCAGCCTTGTACTTCTGTGCTACCTCGCTGACCTCCTGTGCGTCGTGGTTAGACCCGTTCCCTGGTCGGTGCTCGGTAATGGTGCAGTCTCGGCAGACGAGCTTGGCGCAGGGTTGGCAGTAGAATGTCACGCGCTGGTCGGTGTGCTGAGGACAGTACGGGGCTCGGGTGTACTTTGGCCTGACGCTGGGGTTCTTCAGGTCATCCAGGGTGATGATGTAATGGTCCTTTAGCGCAGAAATGTTACTGTGTACAGTTATACAGTTTTTACACAACAACAAACTGCAGTCTGCGCACCTTCCGTCTACCTTAGCTTCAGACTTACACATTTGGCACTTGGTGTGAGCTTCTTCACTGTCGTGAAGGGCCCTGAAGTCCAGCAAGCTGTTCATGAAGTAATACGGAGGAAGACTGCTGACACCTGTTCCCTGTAGCCTCACCTGCTCTGGACAAGTAGGACAGTTGAACTGGCTCTCTCCCTTTCTCCATTTTTCCAGACACCTGGCACAGAAGGTGTGAAGACAGGGCAGGACGCGGGGGTCGGTATAGATATCCTCGCAAACGGCACAAGTCAGAAACTTCTCATCAAACTCCTCTAGTGGGAGACTGGCAGCGGCCATGACGCTGTTGTGTCGTTGTTTCCGGTAGAAGTCCAGAAAATGCCTCCGGAAAAATGTACACCAAAAAATGAGGGTATAGTGTCTGTATAAGGTGAAAGGAGTAAATGCGCACTGGTACCTGTTTGTCACCTGCACAGTATCGACAGGGGCAGAGGTACAGACAGGTGTGTCTTTCTGATTGGTTAAGACAACAAACAAACACAGGTTTTATTTGACTGACATTTGCTTGTTATATAACAAATCGTTTTCTGTATATTAACTCATGTCACCTGAAGGTCCAATATCTATTATATGTATATTGTTCAGTACCCTACGTGCCAATACTTACAACGGGTATACAACACTAAAAAGCACCCCTTCAACCCAGTACAGTATTTTTTTTGTTTCACGTAAAGTAGACTATTTTGACAAGACAAAAAATTGTTTCATACCCATACAACTGACAACGGGCTTCCGAATGTTACCGCTACCTTACTAGTAGCGTACACAAATGGGTCCAAAAGTCCATACCTGTTATCAATGCTAGAGTGAATTGCTAAACATTGAGGCATCCCTGTTTGTAACTATTTTTCTGCGAGCGCCATTTGACCACCCCACATTAACTATATTTAGGATTTATCAGGATCAAGAAGACGACACGTGATAGACCTTCGCTATCTCGCCATCGCCCAGACCCTTGTACCGCAGCGACAGGTGCAGGGACAAACCGGACAGGCAAAGCCGCTCGGATCGCCCCCTGACCGCGATTCTACAGCATCGGTGTACGTTACTGTACTCCTTTCTGTCGGTATCTAACCATTGGGATGTTTACGATGACGTTTTAGTGAGGAACAAGCCAACATTTGTCCCGGGGACGAGACCATGTCATGTTATCTCCCGTGATGCCCCGCGGGGGACGGTGTTCCGTGGCTCCCGGTCGTGCCGTTCGCGTCACGTGACGACTCGTTCCCAGATAACCATCTCGGCCCCAGGAATTCGCTACAAAGTGGCCGTCAGATCAAAGCGCTCGCCGCCGATCCCCTCCGCCGATAGCGCCGCGATCGGACTGCAGATAGCCGGCGTTCCCTCGGGACCGGAGGGACGGCCTGCCGAGGATCCAGCTCGTCTTAGGCCACAGCAAGTAAATTTTATGGATGACATCCTCCGCAGACTCTATATCTAATGCGATAGGGCGAAAAAAAGCAAGGCCGGCAAAATAAAAACAAGATTCCTACAGGATTCTATTTTCAAACTTTTGACATCATAAATCTTGTTAAGCAAGAAACAATACCTGTATTGGGCAAGTTTAGTGCTAAGTTTTCAATCATTGTACAAATAGTTTAGATTCAGTGAGAACATCACCTGTTCAAAGGAATGAAATACATGACTGCATCAAAGTAAAAGACAAAACTTTAAATCCGAGTCATGCCATAAATGCTCTCTTCATATCTATCTGCTATAGAAAGAAGGAAATAAAAGAAAGAAGGAAAGAAGGAAGGAAATAAAGAAGAAAGAAAGAAAGAAAGAAAGAAAGAAAGAAAGAAAGAAAGAAAGAAAGAAAGAAAGAAAGAAAGAAAGAAAAAGAAAGAAAAAAGAAAGAAAGATAACCCCTACCTACCGACCCTATTTTTCAGGACTGAAACAGGAAACACAACATGCATTCCCCAGGCCTTACCGCTGATCCTCCCGGCCTGATCCTTTTATTGTTGTTTTATTGTTGTTTTATTTTATTGCACATACAAAGTAAAAGCAAAATTTGCAAAACATAAGTATAACAGAAACAAATAAACATGCAGGGGTAGAGGAAAAGCCACAGGCTTGTATGACAACTCCCCCCATGTGAACTAACATCCTTGGGAGATGAAAGGCTCGCAGAACAAAGACGCGCCGAGCTGGTGTCGTCTGGTAAGGAGGGGAGGAGAGGGTACCGAGGACTTGGCGGGATTTGTCTTACTTTGGGAGAGTGTGAGGGACGGATTAGGATGGGGGGGGGACATGGTGAGAGGATTATTGAATGACAAATGTCATATGGACGAATATATGGAGTACAGAACTACTACCTTACTGCCAGTAGAAAAGACGTTTTGTCAACACACGTAGCGCGCAAAACAAATTGTAACACATGTATCTGACATGCAAAGTGACATAACATCGTACTCATCGACTAATATCAGTTCATTTTACGACGCTTTCAGTCATAAAGGTACTGATTCAGTACCTTTATGACTGAAAGCGTCGTAAAATGAACTGAGTGATGTCACCTGTTCTGCACTGCAGCGTCACCCCGAATCAAGCACCGTTGCATTATTTTTCTCTAATTTCTGATCAAACGAAACCCGTGAAAAATACTTGTTTCGCGCCGACGCAGTACGTTCTTCCAAAGTTCATCACAGAAACTGAACATTCGCTGACTCGAATAGTCAAAAAGAGCAGCTGTGCCGTCGGTGACGTCATGTGGAGAAAATGGCGGCCCCCGCTGTTTCCCATGATGACTTGGGCGGAGAACGGACGGTCCGCGGCGCGAAGGTCACACGTAATCAATTGTTCAACTTTCACTTTCGATTATGCAGATCCCTGCAGGTGATCAATACATTACAAAAGATATCAATACATTACCATAGATCACAGGTGCTGTTTTAAACAAAACCACCAAACACCCAAAGGGAAGTTTAGCAATACACTAGCCGTTCTTTTTAGTAAGTTGGACATATAGCAAGCGCATTGTGTTTCTAGCTTAAACAGAAGTTGTACTTTCCTGATACATGTATACTCAATATTTTTATACTTACAATTGCATAAAGTACTCAATGTAGACAGATGGTCACTGTAGATTAGATAGAAGCTGGTCATACCATGGTCACTTTTAGTTTCGGGGACCGATACCATCGAAAAGTGGGCACGATATGTTCTTATGCTGCGCAAAGGTGGTCACTAGTACAGATTTGCCTAGCCTCACTTGCAGGCGTTCTCCATACGGTCGTCGTTTTAATTTTTTTGGCGGCCTTTTAATTTTTTTGGGCGGGGGTGGGGGTGGCGCTTGCAGTCTTTTCTATTTTGCACTTTCTGATTTTCTGCTATTACGCGCTTCTACGACCGCCTTACCAAGGGAACGCCTAAAAAGAAGGTGAATCTTTCCCTGTAAACTCACTTTCTGCCAGACATGTCTTTAGCAAGAAGATTTCCCTGTAAAGTCGTTTTTGCCAGACATGTCTTTAGCAAGAAGCCCCGGCCGCCCGTCTGTGTGCACCTGCCCCAGTCCGGACCTCCCGCCAGCCGGGCCTGCGCGCGGCCAGTGTCGTCTGGGGGCGGGACGGGGGGAGGGGGGGCAGGTCTGTTAACCTCCTTAGCATAATCGATTACGGCAGGTGGAATCGCCGCGCCGGCAGGGTATTTAGTTTACCATAAATCAATCAAAAGCAAGGGACAGCCATGTGACTTTTATTCAAAAGCAGTGCGAGACATGTCCACCCCTCCAATAGTACTCTTATGGTTACAACCAGTTACAGTACGTATTAGCCGAGACCCATATCACACCCGACAAAAACTCTCAAGTTTTGTACGGTAGAAAGACAGATGTCTGCGTTTAGCAAGTGGAAATCGGACGCAACATGCGTCCGGAAAAATCGGCACCAAAAGCGTACTTGGATTTCACGAAACACGAGACCTTTTACAGCTATGGGAACTTGAGTCTAACCACGGGTCAGAAAACTGAGATAGACATCAGAAAAAATAGCAAAAGCGGGATCTGACCTGAAACCATACAAAACTAGCGTCCAACTCATCAAACGAATACGTAGGAAAAAATATGAATAACCTTTTATTAGCTTTATTTTCTGCCCATATATGTTTGGACACTTCTCTTCATTTTGACGACAATCGAATTGGGTATGGAAGGTACCCTGGGGACGACGGGCTACCGTGGGGGCGGGTTGATGGATGTCCTGGGAACGATCAGTTCTAACGACAACAGCTGGGGAGTTCCGCGTTAGCGAGACGCGCGCGGAGACAAGCTATAAATCAACGTCACGGCCGGCCAACTCATCTTACTCATTTCCATGGCAAGCTGGAAATGGCGTCCACTCGCCTAGTAGTGGATTCTGTTTCGTGCATGAACGTGGCTACAATGAGCACTGACTTCTTGTTGGGCCTATAGACAATTCTTGATCGAACGCGTCGAACCCCCTGTTCTATTTTGAACACGAAATAGTGTTCTATTTCGAACATGAAATAGTGTTCTATTTCGAACACGAAATAGTGTTCTATTTCGAACACGGAATATTGTTCTATTTCGAACACGAAATAGTGTTCTATTTCGAACACGAAATAGTGTTCTATTTCGAACACGAAATAGTGTTCTATTTCGAACACGGAACATTGTTCTATTTCGAACAGGAAACAGTGTTCTATTTCGAACACGAAATAGAGCATGTCGAATATGTCCAAATAGAACATGTCGAACTAGAACAAGACGTTCTGTTCTCTTTTTACGACGCCGCAGCGTAAAGTCTCAGTGACAGACAGAACGTGAGGAAGTCAGTTTTACATCGCCACAATTTAAGACGTGATTTGAAGAGAAGGTGGTCTTATTACTCCGTGAAGGAGGTCAGGACCTCCGGACGGAGTGTTGTAATCGGCTGATTTTTCATGTTCGCAGTCAAAACACTGGGTTCTCTTTGTGTAATCGGCACGCAATTTTATACGCCGTCTGCGGGCATGCCCGTGTTGATGCACGAATGTGTATTTTTGCCGTTGCTGCTTTCGCGGTCAATGTAATATCGCAGACGCACCCCTACAATTACGAGGCGAATTGGAATGGTCCAGAAAAACGCGTTGTTTGGAATAGCAGTGGGTTCAAAAAGTTCATGCAGATACGGGGTGGTTTTTATAAGTGGTTCCAGATGTTTTTGCCCATGGTTAAGAGATGCCAAGTTTTTTGGAAGATGTTCGCAGCCAAAACGCATTCTTCCGTACGTCGCATTTCTGTGTAATTTCGCATGTGGTGTTGCATTATGTCCGGGATGATGCAC